TTTTGTGCCTCATTGTTACAGTCTTTGGTAAGCAGGTGGTATCCGATGTCCAAACAGCATCAGCGGCTTCGAGGCGGCCTGCTAGGTTAACACTCACATGCTGCATGTTGATACTGGGGTAGAGACTCTTTAAGCCTGTCTGCAAACAAATTAGTGCAGCGTGAGACAAAACTCTGTCGGTCGGTCATAAATTCAGAGGTCTTAAGGTTAACAGAGATGGATTTGAACCAGAAAAAGGTCAGATTGGCCGTCGATCAGGAAATGTTTCAGAATGGAGGCATCTGCTACACTGCATGACGCCTTATGGACACCTCTAACCATCGCAGCTGGCAGAAAAATCATAGGAGCAACCATTTCTGCTTTATTGGGGTTTTTTTGCTTTCTGATTTTTAAATTTTTCGACACTTTTGGGCCTCATTTTATGACTGCACCTATTTTCATCTTTAGTTTCAGGTGATTCAACATTAACTCAGTAGAAAAAATCTTAAGCTGAAAAAAAAAAAAAAAAAAACACTTGCCAAAGGACTGCAAGGAATTTTTAACACTGGGAAGCGAAGGAAGCAGCCTTCGCTGAAACTATCCATGACTCCCACTGGTGGTTTTAGACAAATGCATTTTCCTAACAGCTAAGCAGCTGAACCTCTACCTAATATACAAGCATTAAAATATTTAATGTTTAAAAATCCTTTTGAGTTTTGCAACATTAGAGAGATTAAAGGTCTAAAATGTTCCTGCATTTATAAACACTCAGCAGAAATAGGGCTTTGGCGATGAAAAGCGGGACCAAATTCACTCTGCTGCCATTGAATATTGGGTTTATTTCATTTATCAAGTGAAATCCTAAAACTTTCATTTGAATGGCTCTGAAAGGACACCATTTGATTTATTCTGAGTCACTTACATTTATGTGCACTTTAGAGAAACTGGTAACGGGCTGGTTCCCAGTACAATAGTATAACTATGTTTTTTTTAAAGTTTTGAAATTGCGAATATTTCCCTTTATAATAAGTAACTGAGAAAACAAATGTGGCTTATTGTTCATTATTTTAGGATGTAATATTTAACATACATAACATGGTAGTAATTAAAATAGCATCACTGGTTGCTTTTGCGTTTTTAAAACTACTTTTCGAGCTAGCTAACTGAATAAATGGCTTGGCTAAATAAACGGCTAACATCAGCTTGTTATTCTACCAGTGGTCTTTTAAAAACACGGTTCAGGATTGAATAGAGAATTTTATTTTATTGATTCAAAATCAGGCCAAATGGATCTTAAATATAAATAGAATGAAAGCATGCATTTAAATTCTTTTTACTATAACTCTTAAACCTCCAGCCACTAGTTGGCAGTGCAGCACAGCAGAGCTCTTTGTTAATATATCGGGATATATTTTATCGTGACACGTATTGAATCAAATTCTTACAAATTCACACCCTTAGTACTCAGGAAAACACCATGGAATTAGTAATTATTTAGCGAATGTATATGTATTTAGCAATAAAGCTGTTAAATGTACTGCATCCTTATTGATTAGCATTTCAAGTTTAACATTCAATCTGTTTCACTACATCCACACTTTAAGTAATTTCCAATCTGATTAAGTCCAAATAAAGTTGAGAGAGCACTTTGGTTAGTGCTAGTTGAGCTAGCACTGTGCTAGCTCAACTTTTTTTTGAATTAATCAGGTTAATAAAGTGAAATAAAGTTGAGTTAGCTCTTTGGTTAGGGCTAGTTTAGCTAGCACTGTGCTAGCTCAGCTTTATTTCCAATTAATCAGGTTAATAAAGTGAAATAAAGTTGAGTTAGCACTTTGGTCAGTGGTAGTTGAGCTAGTACTGTGCTAGCTAATCTTTATTTCGAATCAATCAGGTTAATACAGTGAAATAAAGTTGAGCTAGCACTTTTGTTCGTGCTAGTTGAGCTAGCACTGTGCTAGCTGAACTTAATTTGGAATTAATCAGATTAATAAAGTCAAATAAAGTTGAGCTAGCACTTTGGTTAGTGGGTTCAGTTGCTTGTACATGATAAATGTTGCATTAGAAGTGGAAACTATTTGTAAATCATTAAACTCAAAACTTTTTTTTATAACCAGGCCTGGTATTTGTTTTCTCTTTGAAAGCCACTTAATTTTATTTAATTCTAGCAGCAGGAATAATGGTTGCTCTTCTGTTTTAAATGACATAAATTAATATTGACATTGATTCTTTCTTGTTTTGATTTTTAGTCCCAAATACATAAAAAATACAATATTTTTTATTCTTATCATGCCAGCCCATGCATTTAACTAAGTAGACAGTTATTCAGTAGAGGTTCGTGTTGGAATTGGACTTTAACTATTGTTCTTCTAAAAAAAAAAAGGTGTAGTTTGATTGAGACCCCTCATTAGATGAAGTGTGCAAGCTCTTCTAACATGAAGCAATTACATCTGATGCACAAAAACAAACACAACAAACACTGCCAATAAATACCAAAAAAAGAAAGAAAAAAAAAGAGGGAAAGATCCATTTAACTGTGAAAATAAACAGATCTTTCAAGAGGATCCAGTGCTGACCGTCATTGAAATAATACCGTACATTAAATATCAGACTTTAGATAACAGGATACAAAGACAGCAGGAAACCGGAGTTCATTTACGCCAACAGAGCTTCCTCTAAAACATGGAGCATCAGTGAAACCGAACAGAAATGTCTACTGCTGTCTGCAGCCAAAGGCACTTCACACTGCTTAGTATAACACAGACAAGCCATCGGAGGACAACTGCTACAAGATACTCCACCATCATCAGAGCTTTTTTTGGTTTTGGATTCATAAAGGAGGGTAGTGATAGAAGGGGAAGGGTGTCATCGATAATCCTGACGCAGGAGCTTCTTAAGCCTGCAGCCATGGCAGTCGGTTGGAACGGGTTGAGAAGAATCTCAGGTTTTGGTGGTTCGGGCATTAAGGCTCTAGTTTGCTGGTAGAAATACTGAAATAAAAATGCTTTAACCAGACTTTATGCATGATGTAGTTTAAGAGACAATCACAGTGCTTTTCCAAGGAATCTAAAGAAGAGTGTTTAAATAATGATCCCAGTGTCTTGGATCATTCTATGGAGTGAACTTTGTTCCAATATTGTTTAACGATAACATTTTTTTGTAAAAATTTGAAAAGAAAAAAAAAAATGCATAAAAAAAAAATGAAACTTTGAAAAACTTTGCTGTCTTTTAAGACTTTAGTTTTCAATTTTCTTTCTTTGTATATTTTTTATAATATTTATTTTTCAGATTTAGTTGTATTCTTTTCAAATTGCTGATGAAGATTCTCAGTCATCCAGGTCATAGTCATCCCGTAAAAATTCAAAAAAAAAAAAAAAAATTTTCAAAAAAAAAAAAAAAAACAACTTTAAACAGAGGTGGTGGACTCAGATTCCAGCTTCCAAAAACATACAATTCAATCATAGACATGATCCCTTCCAGATATCACCAAACCCCCCACCCCATCACAGAGGAACGAGGGACCTACCCGCTCCAGCCGGTGAACAATACCTCCTTAACGACCAACCCTTAACAATCATAGACAGGTTTCAGGTATTATAGGAGACAACCCCCCCCCCCCCCCCCCCCCCCCCCTTAATGACAATCCCCCCTTTAACGACCGACCCCTAGAATCATAGACAGGTTCAGATATTACAGGCTAACGATGGAACTAACGACCCATTCATCGGTTACCATTGCATGTTTCCAAGCGATACAAGGCGTTGTCCATATAAGACTCAAACTCACTGCGGATCCAGACATTTGAATTGAGAAAGCTTCCTGGAGAGGTGGAGAAACGTCTTCAAATCTTGAAAACCAAGTCCAGTGGATATTTTTTGAATTTTTACGGGATTCTTTTCAAATTGTGTTTCACAGATCACATTCCCTTTACTTTGAGCCCAGTGCAAATTCTCATTCATGATCGATAAAAATTTTTGTTGCTTACATCCAAGCAAACCAACAGAAATTTGTTTTTGCTCCTAACTCCATAGAAAAGCCCTCCCCAGAAGTCTAGAGAATGTAGAGTTCAATATGAAAGAGAAATCTAAAAAAAGGAAAAAAATGTTTTTTTTTCAAAGTTTAAAGATAAAAAAAGTTATAAAAACGAATAAAAGCTTAGAAAGCAGCAAAATTCCTCAGAATCTTTGTTGATTAAGAAGTGTTTCAAAGATTAATTGCATCCTTTTTATGTTGTTGTTTTTTTGCAAAAATAATGGAAAAAAATTGACTCCATACTTGTCATCATTTGTCTCAGTCTTTACCAGAATCCACCATCTCTGTGCTGTATTCAGTAAAATCTGGACTAAAGTCTAAAGGGTTGGATGAAGAGTCGCCTGCTGCAAAAATAGGTACCTGAATTGTTTCTGTTTTTTCCCCCCATTATGCTTTAATAAATTTCAGATAGTTGGGGAATTGAAATATAATCTATATGCTACAATCCATAAAACAACATCCCAAGTTTTTTTTTTCTTTTTTCTTTTTTAGTGTGTTAAAGGAAACATACAAAAAAGTATAAACTTGGATTATTTTTCTTTGGGAAACACCTCTTGTGCAAGAGCCCAACTGGCACAACCTGCAGTGTCTATCTGCACACATCCAGATCTATATTCTACCATACCATTATGCTTGTTTTCCCCCCATAACAATTCATTGATGACACACAGGGTCTGACCTTCGGAATGTCTTGGCTGATAATGCTTTTTTTCTCCACCAGGGGGTGATGTCTCTTCTTCTCCCTCTGTTGTTTTCCCCAAAAGCATATCACATGAATCCCACTTTTATTCCTGTCATCACTGCCGTAAAATTCTGGTGCACTAAGAAAATGGATTTAGTGCGAGAGACGATAAAAGCTCCTCATGTGGTGAAGTTCTGCGGGGGGGCGGGGACAGCCTACTATCCAACTGCTTTTGTTGATGGCTAGTTTATAAATTGGCAGTGAAAATGCAACCATTTTTAATCTGTACTTTATTATTTAGCATTATTGATTTTATTTTTTATTTTTTTGGTGGACTGACGTTTTGGTAGCTTCTAAGGGATAAATTTCTCTCCCATCAATGTCACCATGAATGATCACCAAGCAAAGGCCCTAGATGTGCTTCCGTTGATCAGAAGGAGTGTGTTATTCCTTGACCAGTCGATAGATGTGGTGCTGTGCTCCGTGGTCGTTGTTTGACACCTCAAACACACATGCCATACACAGCAAGGTCTCCTGAGTGTCTCTGTTGCTCACCACCTGGACATCAAAACAGATGTTAAAAGTTAATTTTTTGTTTATAATAATCACATTACACTGGCTCCAAAGTACGGAAGGAATTTTGTTCCATTATTGTTGAAATCAAAGAATGCTTTTTGTAAGATGTGAAAGTTTGAAAAACTACGTAATCCAAAATGTGTGTTCTGAATGAAACTTTGCTGTTTCTTCAGATCCCCCAAAAATATCACTTTCCCAGATTGAGTTTTACTAATGACATTCTTTTCAAATTGTCTCTTCACTTCTGGGGTCAATAGAATAGAATACAGAATCCCTTTTGTGGCCCACAATGGGGAAACTCTGATGTTTACAACAGCAAAAAGATTATAGAAAATATGGTCACACAAATATGGACCTTAGAATAATGTATAAGAATAACATCATAGTGAAGATTCTAAAGTTAAACAATAAAATACTGTACTGTAAAGTGTTTTAACAGAGGAGTGATGATGCTCGAATATCAGGCTTGAAGTGAAGAGGATGTGATAGTTAAAGAAATTTAAAAAAAGAAAAGCTAATTGCTAAAAAAAAAATGTAAAAAAGAGATGGCAGGAAAAAAAAAACATTTAAAAATATAACATCAGTAAATTTAAGTTTTAAGAAAAGTAAAATGTGAAAATATTAAATGACCTGAAACAAAATCTGAGAAAACAATAATGCAAAACCTTTATTTTAATTAAGATGTTTTTTTTGTTTTTTTTTTTGTGTTTTCCCATTTAAAAAACATTTTTTTTTTTTTTATGCTTTCAACAATAATGGAACAAAAGTCACACCATATGATGCACATATAGCACACAGACATGAATTAAAAACATAGAAAATCAAAGACAGAGCATTCTGATGGTGCATTCAGGCCCCGTCCACACGAAGCCAAACCCTGGCCTAAACGCACAAATTTTTCACCAAACCAGCCTCTCATCCATACGAAGCCGGCGTTTCGGGGGTCTGTAAACAATCTTTTTTTTATTCAGCCTTCAGAGTGGGACGATTTTGAAACGCCGTTTTCGCGTTTCCATCTTTAAGCTCTAACCGCATTTTTTTTTTTTCACACGCATGCGTCATAGCGTCGCCTCTAAACGCGCATGCGCGACACAGTATCACAACAACAATGGCGCCGTACTGTGTTGAATGGTTGCTGCTCATGCTACTCACCCTGCTGTCGGGCTTACAACAGAATATTCTTCTTCTGGAATATCTCCAGGAAGAACAGAGCAATATCCACGACATAGTTCAGCACCTGAATTTGACTGAACCAGGAAAATAGACCCGCAGGGCAACCATGTATAAATATTAGTGCGCATGCCCAACATTTCGTCGCCTATTTTTGCTTTGGCACCACAGCGCCACTTACAGGCCTGGCATACATTTTGCAGCGTTTTCATGCATTCGTGTGGACTATCACATTTATTTTACGTCTCCGTCTTTACGACAAACGTTCTGGAAAATATTAGCGTTTCGTGTTCGTTTTGACTTCGTGCACTGCAAAAAATATAAATCTCAATAAGTTATTTTTTCTTAAAATAAGTGTGTTTTTCCTTGATTTGAGGAGATAAGTAAGACACTTTGCCAATGGAACAAGACAATTTCCTTTTAAAATAAGAAAAAACTATTTTATCGTCTTATTTCAAGTAAATATTATCTAACTATCTTATTTTAAGAGTGAAAATACTCATTCCATTGGCAAATCATCTTATTTACCTGCTCAAATTAAGGCTAAATATACTTAATTTAAGCCATTTTTTACTTATTTCTGGATTGTTTTTGCAGTGTGTGGACGGGGCATCAGACCGAGTGAGGTGTCTGTGGTGATTTCTGTGAGCCTTGCATGGAGTTCACACCTCTGCATTTCACATGCAGTGTTTTCACCCTGGGCCGCGTCATCACATAGGAGGAGCCTCAGATGGGTAATGCTGAAAACCCACTGACGGGAAAAAAAACTCAGCAATTGACTGATGGTTAAAGCTTCATTAGTGAAGGTTTGTGCATTTAAAATGGTCATTCGTAAAAATTAAAAAAAATTTAAATACTCCAAAAAGACGATCATATGTGCTACTGTTGTTTCAGAGACATTACCCAGAGATCAACTATTCCCCCATCAAACTTCAAATTGAATCAAAATGATCTAGCCTACGTTTGTGCTAATTTGTTTTTAAAATAGAATCATTATTAAGTGACAAAGTTATTCCCTAACATCACATGTCATTCCTGTGCTGGCAATAGATGTAACAGGAGGCATATTTACCTTATTTAGTGGCTGGAATGATTTTTTAAAATAAGTAAATCACCAGCCTCCCAGACCCTCTGCTTTGAATCTGCCGTTACCCCGGCAACCCCATAGCATTTCCCATCAATTGGAAATTGTTTTTTATGAACAACTTGTAAATCGTCTTAAGGCTTATTTATACTCAGAAACCAGGTTGTCTACGTGTGTGTTGCAGTTAATGCAAATGTGAATTGTGATTGTCCCTCCTGCTTTGTGCCGTGGAATAACATAGCGCAGGCCACGTTTCAATATTGGGCATAAATCAAAATATGTCTGCAACCAGCTTACTGCGACACACTGCTGCAGGGATTATAACCAGCCCTGTAGAGAGAACATACATTTTTGGAAAAGCCTCATAAGCTCTGCAAAAGAGAAACACTTTGGCTCATCCAGAGCTGCGTCTGGATGACGCTCTGATTTAGTGGGACTTCCTTGTACATTGTGACCGACCGGGCCTTTGGTTGGAGGTAAGGGAGGATGATGAACAGTCCTTTAGGACTAAATTAAAATATCTTTTTAGAGCCACCTATAGACCTCTTGACTGAATTCCTTATATCTACCTTTATTTTCTGTGTATTCCATTTAGAGGGAAAACAGCTTCACCTACAACCTGTCTCTGACTGGCTGCCATGTCGTGATTTCTTTGAAAAGTTCAACTTGTTTCAATTTCAGCAATCAGCGCTCCTCTCTCTCCATGCAGTGCTGCTGTTTGACACCCTTAGCTCTTTCTAGTAGCACGAGGAGAGTGCAGAGCGGGGAACACTTTCATTCACCAGTGGCCGCTTCTCCGCAAGGTTTGCATAAGGATTCTGTTTGAATCCACCGCACTCGCCACGGACAACGCATTCGGTCTAAAAATTAGAGGAGACTTCACAAATATAAAGCACTTGAAATGTGGAACAAGGAATGAACAAAAGGACAGACAAAAAAAGGAGAGCAGAAATGAAAACATGCTGAAAGAATGTGTCCAACATTACAAAGGGTCTCATAAATGAAGAAAAACATTTCTGCAAAATTAAAACCTTTAAACTTTGCTAATAGTTGTAAGCCTCCACATGTAAAAGCCTGAAATGATATGTGGTATGGTTGGAACTTGGACACATTTCCCATCAGGATGAAGCACTCGCTCACAGCTCCAAGCTGATTTTTGATTTAACAAATACTCTGAAACGTCTCTGATAAAGGCTACAGAAAAGCTCTGCAGAAACCTAAACCATGGAATAAATGACAGAAAATTCACTTTTTTTTTTTGACTAGAGATGTCATTGAAAATTCTGACAAATGAAAAAATAAAATAAAACGAAAGTTACGTATGTAACTACGGTTCTATGAATCCCGGATGACCGCCAGAGGGCGGTGCTGAAAGCACTGAATGTTCCCTTCGGGCATGCGCAGTCCGAGTAATTATACCAACAGAGTCACACCTGTGACACCGGATGACCACTCAGAAGCTATATAGCCTGGTGTCATCCTTTGCTCTGCTCCTACAGAATCTTCTCGCAAAAGCAAGGATTCTGAGTGACAGAGAAGCTCTGGCGGTCATCCGGGATTCATAGAACCGTAGTTACATACGTAACTTTCGTTCTATTTCATCCCTACTGACCGCCAGAGGGCGGTGCTGAAAGCACTGAATGACTAATGCCAACGATGTCACAAGGAATCCTGAGCACATACCTCACAGAGGCCCAGCAGAGCCTTGTAAAAGGACCTGACCCAGGGGATGAGGGGCAGCCACATTGACACTGTAGAACCTGGTGAAGGTGGTTGGGGAAGCCTATGAAGCAGCAGCACATATAGCTTCCAGCGGAACCCCTCTCAAAGCAGCCCAGGAAGCGGTGACGCTCCTGGTGGAATGTGCTCTCACACCGACTGGCAGGGAGCAGTGACCTGCAGCGTAGGCGTGGCAGATGACACTCACAATCCAATGGGACAGACGCTGTTTAGAAAGAGGACAGCCTAACCTTGGACCCCCATAGCATAGGAAAAGCTGGTCCGAGCGTCTCAGATTGGCGGTGGCTGCAATGTATGCCTCCAACGCTCTTACTGGGCACAACAACTCAGACTCATTCTCAGTTGTACCAGATTGAGGCTGAAACCGAGCCAGCCGCAATGGCTGGTTACGGTGAAAAGGAGACAACACCTTAGGCACAAACGCAGTATTAGGCCACAGGGTAACACCAGAGCCATCTGGATTCCACCTGATACACCTAGGGCTGACAGAAAGAGCATGCAAATCGCTGACCCTCTTAGCTGAGACGATAGCCATCAGGAAAGCAGTCTTGCAGGAAAGCCACTTGAGTTCTGCTTGTGCCAAAGGCTCGAATGGAGGGTGGCACAGAGCTGTGAGAACCAACGGCAGATCCCAATCTGGGGCTCGTGGGGCTGGCTGCTGACACAACCTACGAGCACCACGCAGAAAAAGTGAAACCAGTTCATGGCGCCCCACTGTACGGTTGTCAACAGTTCGGTGAAGACATGAAATTGCTGCAACATACACTTTAAGGGTCGAAGGAGAGCGGCCCTTATCAAGGAGAGACTGGAGGAACTCCAAAATAGTGGGCACCGAGCAGGAAACTGGGTTCTCATTGTGGGCAGAGCACCACTAAGAAAAGAGGCGCCATCTGTTAGCATACTGCAGCCGAGTGGAGGAAGCCCTAGCACTCAATACGATGTGTCTCACGGTGTCTGAACACCCAGTCAGCCTCCCAGGGGCCATGCCCACAGCTGGAGACGTTGAGGGTTGGGGTGCCATATCTGTCCCCCCAACTGAGACAGCAGATCCCTCCTTGCTGGAAGACGCCATGGAGTACCGTGACACAGACTCCAAAGCAGCGGGAACCACGGCCGCGCTGGCCAGAACAGAGATACCAGCAACACTCTGTGGCCCTGCTCGAGAACCCTCCGTAGAGTCGGCCAAATCAGTGAGAGGGGTGGAAAGGCATACAGGAGAACCTGCGGCCATGGATGAGCCAGTGCATCCTGGCCCAGTGCGCCCGCCATCCCGGTTAGGGAATACCATAGGGGGCAATGGGTCGACTCCTCTGTGGCGAACAGATCTACCTCTGCCTGCCCAAAGAGGTTCCAGATTATGCGCACTACGTCGCGGTGAAGAGACCACTCTCCCGGAGCAGGTGCCTGGCGGGATAGAGAGTCCGCAACCTGGTTCTGCCGTCCTGGCAGATACGCTGCGCGCAGGGTACACAGACGGGGAAACGCCCATTCCAGGAGATCCCTCGACACCTTCAAGAGACGTGCTGACCTGGTGCCACCTTGGTGGTTTATATGATAAACAACAGAGGTGTTGTCTGTCCGAATCAGCACGTGCCTTCCCTCTAGGTGGGGCAGAAGGCACCTGAGGGCCATGTGCACAGCCCGCAGCTCCAGCACTTTTATGTGTTCGGTGCGCTCCCTTGGGTCCCAGAGACCCCGAACAGCTCTGTGTTGCCACACGGCACCCCAGCCCATGAGGCTGGCATCCGTGGTGACCACCTCCCTTCGACACACTACTAGCCCCATTGGAACACCACTGGACAAAAGGGTCCCGTCTCGCCAAGGAGCTAGGGCATGGAGGCAGGCCTGTAGAGGAGAGAGGGCTGCTTTCACGCATCGAGTAAACACCCTCGGGGAAAGGGAGAGCCCGAATGGGAGCACCCGGAATTGCCAATGGCGCCCCCGATAGGCAAACCTGAGAAAACGGCGATGTTCTGCCGCAATAGGCACGTGAAAGTAGGCGTCTGTCAGATCTACTGATGTAAACCAATCTCCCGCCACAATGGTATGAAGGACCTCTGTTATGGTGAGCATGTGGAAGGGAAGGACCTTCAGGTACCGATTCAGTCCCCTTAGATCTAAAATGGGGCGAAAACCGCCGGTCTTCTTGGCCACAAGGAAGTATTTGGAGTAGTAGCCTCTGGGTTGCCGCAGAGGATCTACAGACTCGATTGCCCCCTTGCCCAGGAGGGCGGAAAGCTCCTGGTCTAGTGCCTGAGATTTCACCGGGTCTGTGATGACAGTCATCTTGACCCGGTGTGAGAGGGGGGGCCGCCGTCGGAACTGGAGCCTGTAGCCATTGGTTAAGGTGGCAACCACCCATGGATCTACGGCATGAGCAGCCCAGAAATTCAGCTGCTGATGGGAAAAATGTCCGACGGCTGGCCCGGTGGCATCATCTTCTATCCCCACGGCCCCTGGGGGCTCTGGGGGGAGGGCGTCCAGGATTTGAGGCCCGGGTCTGTCTAACAGGGCGGCAGACTGGCTCACGAAAGTCCCTCCTCGGTCTCTGCCGCACATCATGGGGATAGGAACCAACAGGTCTGCCACCAGTCTGAGGTCATGGCTGAACGCTTGGGGTAGTGGCAGGGCGGCCCGAACGCTGGGGAAAGGCAGGTATGCTCCTGCGAAGGCCGGAAAGCTGCTGGCTAGTCTGACGTGCCTGAGCAGTCCGTTCCAGCGCCTCCAAGGCAGATGATCCAAACAGCTCCCCTGGTACAACCGGGACACCCCTGAGGGTCCTACGGCATGCTTCAGTCAGAGGAGATTGTGCCAACCAGACCTGTCTACGAGCTTGGACAAGGAAAGACATGACCCGTCCAAGCTCTCTGGTCATCAGCGCGAAGGCCTGCAGCGCTGCGTCACTATAACCAACCGCCGCACTTGCACCACCAGTGTCCTGAACAGATGCAGACAGGGCAAACATGAGGTGCGCCAGAGAATTGCCAAGGCGGCCAGCACGCGCTCCTGCATTGTACGCCTTACAGAGGAGGTCATCTGTAACCCGACATTGAGTCCGCGGGCACCGGACATCAGGACGCAGGGCTTCATCTGGTGACACAATCAGTGAAGCAACAGCTGGTTCAATTGCTGGCATACGGTCCAGGCCGGCCTTCACCGACTCATGCATGGCAGCTAATACACGACCATCCGATGAGAGACGCGACAGCGCTCTCGGTTCCCGCCAACAGGCGTGTAACTCCTTCAAGTACTCCTCTGATGGAGGTACAGAAAAAGGAGTAGGAGCCCTTCCACGTCTGAAAAAGGCACTGCCGGAGCTGGATGCCTCTCCTTGTGGGAGTTCCAGCTGCAGCTGCTTCAGGGCCATTGACATGACCTCCCGCATGGAACCGTCACCGGCCTCTCCAACCGCACTTTGAGATGAAAATGAACCAGCCTCAGAGGCTTGAGAGGACCCTGCCTCCTCCTCATCTCTAAAATGAGAAGCGGAAGCAGCCAGAGAGATAACGTCATCCTCTACAACCAGCTCGGGCATTGGTGGGGAAGAGAGCCCAACCACTGGGAGCGAGGGATCAGATTGCCGTGTCTGCAACAAGGACTTCATCTCTGCCAGCTCTGCTGACAACTGCTCCACCCTTGTGGACAGGCCCTGGTCAGGTTTGGCCCGCTTCCTCCTGGGGAGGGGCACAGATGCTGTGGTCCCACCACGGCGCTTAGAACGCTTGGGGGGAACCACCTGCCCAGAGGGCGGAAGGTCCGAGCCCTCCTGGGGGCACAACTGGGCCAACCGGGCCACCCTCACTGCATGGGGCATAAAGCTGCAGTTCATACAGGGGTTCTCAGACAGCGCCTCCAAAAGGTGCTCATGTCCAAGGCAGGTACGGCACAGGTCGTGGCCATCCTCTGCCTGCAGGGCAGCCCCACAATCCATGCAGCTGTGAGAGCCATCCATGTCGAAGGCCGACAAGGCTTAAAGAACAGAAAGTTACCGAAAATCGGGAGAGGGGACGCAAACGCAGCCGTCACCAATTACAGCAGAGAAACGAAAGAGGCTGCGAGCACAAGGCAGCCGATACTGGGAGAGGGGGCGAGAACCGCTACAGTCACCAGGTATAAAACCAATAAACCAAAAAAGCTAACAACGTTAGCTGTATGGAAACTTAAGTTGGGAGTAGGAGCGAACAATGCTGCCGTCACCAATTAAGAGAGCAGACCAACGAAAAGGCTGCAAAAAAGGTTGATTTTGGGACAGGGGGCGAAAACGCTGCCGTCACCATTCATAACTAAGCAGACCGATGAAGAAGGCTGCAAACAAACCAAAAAAGGCTAACAACGTTAGCCGTCTCCAACTTCGGCAAACGAAGTAGACCACACTTGGTTGGGAGAGGGGGCGCAAACCGCGGCCGTCAGTAATTATAGCAGCGCAGACCAGTGAAAAAAAGGATGCAAAAGTAGGGAATATACTGGGAGAGGGGGCGAAAACCGCTGCCGTCACCAGGTATAACACCAACAAACTAAAGAAGCTAACTACGTTAGCCGTATATAACTTCGGCAGTGAAGTTATTCACACTGGGAGTAGGGGCGAAAACGCTGCCGTCACCAGTTCGAAACAAAACAGCACGAAGCTGTAGGTAAAAAGCTAAAGTCGTGAGCCGGGAGAGGGGGCGCGGACGCTACCATCACCAGCAAACAACTCACTTACCTTCCGTAATCCTCAGAATCGACCCGTTGCAGCCCTGGGAGGGCGGAGAATAACCGCAACTCCGGTCAAGATACAGGGGCTTCAGACAACGGGGAAGTTAGCGAACCGTTTGCGAGAAGAAAAAAGGAAAAAAGGAGCAGAGCGAAGGATGACACCAGGCTATATAGCTTCTGAGTGGTCATCCGGTGTCACAGGTGTGACTCTGTTGGTATAATTACTCGAACTGCGCATGCCCGAAGGGAACATTCAGTGCTTTCAGCACCGCCCTCTGGCGGTCAGTAGGGATGAAATAGAACTAATTTTGAAAAAGTTGAATTAGATGAGCTATTTGTATAATTTAGTGATACATTTGTTATACTTATTTTCTGTCGACCATGTGTCCCGATTGTACCAGTCAATTTTTTTTTCAAGAACAAAAATATCACTCTAATAATGTATTGATGCACTTTGTGTTAAAGGGTTAAAAAAAACTCAACCTGCTCTATTTGTCTGACAGGAAGCTGCAAGGAGCTGGATGATGTTTTACAAATGTCTGCAGTTAAGGTGCAACTTTACTCAGAGGAAATGTATCCAGATGTTAGTGGGGGTGCATAGATCTGAGCCTTTTCGTGGATCTGGATGAACTAAGATACATTATATGTAAACAGAAAATGAACTTTCTAAAATATAGGGACATATTAATCAATAAAATGCTACTCATAATGGGAAATCCTACTATGTTCATGTCTCACTTAGAGCAGAAAGGTGTTTGATTATAGATGCTCTCACCAGCAGTATAGTGAAGTTTTCCAGGACGCTGTTCATCATGTATTTTTCAGGCAAATGTTTCAGCTTGTGGATGAAGTTGATCATGTATTCACACATGGGAGAGCGGCTGATTCTGTAGACGAAACGTCCGTTTTCAAACCTTGCGTACTCCGTCTGTTAACCAGCAGGGAGAGAGCAGAGTTAGGGGGGATATCTGTGAAGATTCTCAGTCATCCAGGTCAAGCTTGACAAAAGTTCAGTCTAGGCAACTGGATGGGAAGGTTTCTAGAAGACGTTACCCCGCTCATATTCAGTATAAAATAAATCATTGATGGAATTTATTTTGTTAAATAAAACCATCAATACTTTTGCAATTTTTTTTTTTCAAAGTCACAAAATTAACTCTTAGGCATCTATAAAATGTGTCCAACAGACCCAGGTCTGAATAAAGAAAATCATCAACCAGATATGGTCAGGAGACATTTTTAATTATAATCTGTAGGGATGCACGATATTGGGATTTTGGCCGATATCCGATATTTTAAAACTCATGTAGCCGATAACTGATATCGATACCGATGTTAAAGCTGGACAAAAATAAGTAGTCATTGAAAATAGCAGTTTTGTTATCCATTTCTGACACTTTGAAAAATAATATACTCAAATATATTTTCATATGCTGATATCAAATTGATTTTTAAAAACGCGGTATCGATCTATTTTACTTTCAAAATCTGGTGAAATTTCATCGTTCTGTTACAAACTCTCGTGATATTTTGCAAATTCTTGTGAGATTTTGTTAGTAAAATAGATCGATACCGCGTCAATATATCAACATATAAAAATATGGCAAACTTTCGTGAATTTTCAGGGGATTTCGTAGCATAGCGATGACATATAGCAATATTTCATTAGTAAAAGAGATTGATATGGTGTTTTTAAATGGCAATATATCAGCATATGAAGATATTGGGATATTTTAATGTATCAATATTTTTCCCTCGTCTTTAGAAGTTTTTAAGTCTGTAAAAAAGAAGTTTTTGAGGAAGAAGAAGAAGTAGTATTTATTTATTTATTTATTTTTTTAGACTTTAGAAACTCAGAAGCTGTTTAAATATCGGGTTGAATATCGGTGGGGTGGCCGATGTCCGATATTCAGTTTTAATGCCGATACCGATAGGGGGCCGATTATATCCTGCATCCCTAATAATCTGTTACTCTAAACGGAATAACACTGAAATAAAATAAGCTTTTTGTGCATCCATGTTATACAATGACTTTAAAAAAATTAAATAAAATTAAAAAATGGAATATTTCTCCATTTTAAAATCTAAAGTGTTTCATTCACACAATGTCGTTGGACAACATGAGGTAATTTATAAATGTTTTAAATCAGGTTGGTTCCGGATCCGGAACTCGGTCCGCTAATCCTTGATAGGGCTCGGTAAAGAAATTGATTTAATCGATTTTGAATTGATTCCTTTACATTTTTGCAAAATCGATGTCTAGGGAATGAGATCGATTAGTTTTATAGTGACACGCGTGACGTTCACATTCAAATAAGCAGGAAAGAAGCACTCAAGATGACTTCAAGCCAAACAGCTGCAAATATAGCCAATACGTTGATTGAAGACATTAACAAATAGAGGCTGATCAGAAAACACCCTGTAGTTGTTACAGAAAACGCTGCAAATATGGTTTGTGCAGGAAGATAATGCAGCTCATGCATGCCTGCTGTGTCTACTCGCTCGAGTGAGGCTTCACTTTTTCACTTTTCACAAACAAGTTTGCACTTTTGAGACAGTTTTGTTCACATCACATATATATTTTGTAATATGACAGGAAAAATAAAATACAAGAGTATTTTGAAACACAGTTGAACTACTTTTATTGTTGTAAAAACAGATCAAATTGAAATTAATCGATTTAGAACTGTATGAATCAAAATCGAATCGATTCAGGACTTTGGCAAAAATACCCAGCCCTAATCCTTGACCTCTGGGCTAGATCTATTAATTCCCACCCCTCTCTTCCGGATATCTTAGATCATTTCTTCTGTTTTACCTATGATGTCACTAAAGGAAGCTGTGAGTTTTCAGGTGCCTTAAACCAGTCGACCTCTTGTTCATGCAAATGTTGTAAATTAACCTCTGAGAAGCCTATCAAGCCAATCATCGTATTTATTTTCCCAAATAGTTTAAAGGCACGGAAAAAAAAAACACATTTGAAGAGGCCTTTTGGATAAGAGGTGTTACGTCTTCTAGGCAACTTCACGTCCATTTGCCTTAACTGAAGTTTTTCAAGCTAGAGTTATTTTCTTAATTTCTCCTTCAGCTCTACTTTTACCCCTCAGCCCAACATATCTGGTGACAGATCAGTTCAACATGCATTTCTAAAGAGATAAACCTCAAATAAAACTGTTTGATCTGCTGCAGAAAACATTTTTCATAGAAAAAAGCTTGGAAAATGAAATAACTTCGCCTGAGTTAAATTTACATTTTCATTGTGATTTATCTTTGAGAAATAATAAGAAAGAAAGACTAAAAACAGACCTGCCCCCTACTCACCTCCACCTTCTCGACCACCTGCTTGCCAAAGGAGCAGACCTTTGTGGAGCAGGT